TTTTTTTTTTTTTTTTTTTTAGGGGTTTTTTAATTCATTTTTTTTATTAATTGTTTTTCACTGTTGGAGGGCTTTGGGGAAATATTAGGGGTCTAAACTCCTGACATTTCCCTTTTGAAATAGAAAAATAAATTTAAGGACACAGAGTCCTCGATCTCTTTTTCTGCGGCCTCAGCACTCAATGAATGGGTAGTAGAACTCAGTACAGAGGCTCCTCCCCATTCATTCAGAAACTGGTGATAGTAAAATATTTACTATCATCCAGTTATGAATGGGGAGAAACCTCTGTATTGAGTTTAACTACCCATTCAGAAACTCATGAATGAACAGGAAGTGATGTAATGACTACCTTTTGATAAATCAACAACTCTTTAGTGTGAAGACCTACCTGAACAATCCACTCAATGTATATTAAACCAGGTGGACTCTGGCCATGATGTGTCAACAAACCCAAAGGAGACTGAACAGACTATAAAGTGCCGGGCTGGCTTAAAGCAGGCCTTTACCCATATCTTTAAAATAATAAGACACCTTTAGAAATATTCAGTAATGACAATCTACAAACACATACTTCTAGATAAATGCCGGCGTTGTATTCTTTATATACCTTATTCCTCTTTCTTCCCCTGACAGTGGCCATTTTTACTAAGGGCAGATTACTAGCTCTCCATTTACTCCCTGGATTTCTGGCACATGTGACTAGGACATGCGACCATGCACATCATCTCAGAGGAGGAAAATGCCTTTCCCTGAGATCTTGTAAGATTACAGATGAGATTTCCCAGCAATGCTCTGCTGATGTAACCTTCCCAGGATGCAACGTTTGGCCACGATTACATCAGTGTCATGCAACATGTCCCCAGTCTTTTACTGTCTACTACAGCATGACCTGAGTCTCCAACTACTACTATAGAACACTCTCTGACCAATAAGTCTTCAGTCTATGACAGTCTTCTATCATGGTGTAGCCCTTCTTATATGTGGCCCTTTGGAGACAGGGGCTACATTTGAGGCCTCCTATACCTTATAAGTTAAAGAGGAACTTTACTCGTATCTGTAAAAGAACAACAAACACACCTTTTAGAAATGTTCAGTAATGACAATCTACAAACACAGACTTCTAGATAATTGCCGGCTTTGTATTCTTTGCATTTCTTATTTCTCCTTTCTTCCCCAGTCTTCTGACAGTGGCCATGTTTACTAAATGCAGGTTACTAGCTCTCTATTGACTTCCTGGAACTCTGGCACAAATGACTAGGACATGTGACCATGCACATCATCTCAGGGGAGTAAAATGCCTTTCCCTGAGATCTCGTGAGATTACAGATGAGATTTCCCAGCAATGCTCTGCTGATGTAACCTTCCCAGGGTGCAATGCTTGGGCACAATTACATCTGGGGGAGAAGGGGCTGCAGGGATCGGTCTGGGAGCCTGGCGGGACTGAGGATCAGCTTTATTTAAACCCCTCTAGAAAAAAATGAGCAGTTAACCCTTTCAGTGCTGAGGTAGCCCCACTGCAAGGGTAAGTTGTTTGTTTGCCTGAAGTTCTCCTTTAACTTTTTCCCCTTTAAACAGCATCAATGAGATGTGAAGCAGCCACAAAGGAAATAATGAGCAATAGGAAAATATGGGACAAGAATAAAATAATAACGTGATAGGAAATGATGGGATTTCTCCGTGCAACGCTGAATGCATGAAGTGTGAATGGGCCCTGATAGTATTTACATCTACTTTAATCTCATGAGCAAAAAGTACTGATCCCCATACATCCCCTTTTTAATTTGCACCCCATGTGCATTTCTCTCCATTCTGAGCAGGTGACCTCCTGGCTGCACTAATCTGACCCAGTCAGCCCTAAATCGCCCCATTGCAGTGCGTTTGCATCCTTGAAGCTCACTCAACCCATGGACAGTACAGAAAAATAATAATTATACAGCCAGCAGAGTATAAAATGGGGAATGATGAGCCAGCTGCAAGCCTATTTATCATACACCACTAGATCTCAGATACCCAACCCAGCCTCCTGATTGGACGATGTGTTAACCCTTGCCATGCCACGCAGGGTGCAGTGGCAGCAGGTGCACATTGTTGTGTGTTGACCTGACAGATAGAGGTGATCTCTATGTAAACACGACGTCATCTATGAAATAAAAAGATAATACTGAGGGTCTCACCAGCATAGCGCTGCTCCTGTGGCCCCTGGCAGGGGGTGGTGGTGGAAGAAGAGGGGGGGGGTTCTGATGCTGCGTTAGCTCTGTAGGGGGCGTCGTCCTCTTGTCATACAAGCGCTGACAGATCGCTTATTGTTCTGCAAATATCGCTCGGTGCGGTCAGCGGGGGAGCCTGTCCGGCCCAAGCTGGTGCTGGTGGCATATCGCGGGTGGCATCGCTGTGGCAGGCTGTGTAGGATTCTGCCTTCCCCCGCTCCCCAGCTGCTGTCACAAGGCAGAGATTAATCCCCGGTGCCCTCTTGTCCTCATGCCTGCTGCTGGCACAATGCTGAGTTGATGCGATGCCCCCGTCCAGCTCTCCCGGGAGCGTGCTCAGCCTTCAGACGCCGCCGATCGTCTTGCTCTATGGGCGCAGTCCGCCGCCGCTCTCCAGGGTGCTGAAAACAGAGCCGCACTGCGCATGCGTGTGACTCAGCGCCGGGGCAGCACTAGACTGGGCGAAGCCGCAGCCTTGGCAAAGTCCTGAGTCCGATTCCCACGGTTCGCACTTATTTTAAAGGAGAAGACCTTTGGTAATAAACATAACAGCAGTATGGGGTGATTTAAAGGGTCAGTCCATTCAAAAAGTCTGTATTGCAGCAAGGCATGTCACAAAATTGGCCTTTTAGTGCTAGACAATCTGGTTGCTTAGAGCGGAGCAGGAAGATGTGTACGGGAAAGAAGAAGAAGAAGAAAAAAGGAGCCTGCGGGGGAAAAAGGGAAGAAGAAAAACAATTCAAGCTGAGCCTGCCCCCCCCCCCCTGCTGACACGATCGGGCCCAGTATGTGAGGGCTGGCTGTACTCCCCTCTATTGACGGTCGCCCTGCATGTGCACAGCAGTTACATCCTCACCGGCACCCAACTAATTCCCACAGAGATGTGTGTATACTGCAAGATAAAAAAACATCATGGGGGGACGACAATTTTTTGACAGACTTGCGTGTCTTTCTGTGAACAGTCCCTCCCAACAATTTTTATTTGATTGACTTTACTTCCGCTGTTATGTTGCTCGTACACATTACAGTGTTTTAGGCAATTTCAACCACTTTGCAAACACGAATGCTCGCGATTAAAGGGACAAAGGCAACTCACCATTAAAGAATTCCATCGACAGATAAAAGGGCTGAAACAGATTGAATGGATTGAAAGAATATTTGTGATTGACAAATAATCAATTGAAAGCAGGTATACTGCCGGGGCAATCTAGAACGTGTTGAGATTTCCTGGTGCATTCCATTAGGGATTCTACAATTCAGCTTCCCATTGGTTGATCAGAAATGGCGGATTGTTCATTAATTACACAAGACAATAGCTCCAGGGAGATGAACAAGGCTACTGCTTTCGGAGCTATAAATCACTGCTAATTAGTCACAATCCAGCAAAATAATTACCAATATTAATAAATGACTTGTATGAAGAACCAAAGATACATACGAGTGATAAATGGTGTGCAAAGAACAATGGGCGATTAAAGGAGGCGGGATCAATCGCAGAGTCTGTGGATCGGTCCTTGGCTGCACAAATCCCGGAATATTCAGCAAAACTCTTCAGCAAAGTGACATCGGTGTGTGTTGGGTACGGAGCACCACAGATAAAGAATCATATAACTCATGGTAGAAATAGTCTTTATTGATCATAGTAAAAATACAGCCAACGCATTTAAGGGGATAGGGCACCCCCTTCTTCAGGGCTCTGGTGGATACTGTGGGCTATATAATAACAGGTGCTTTTGCCTGGGTCACTTGAGTTTTTCTGGTGCTCCTCACCCAATGCAGAGCAATGAAAATCTGTACAGTACATATGCTTTTCATGGATGCTGATTGCACTGTTTGACAGGATGAGATAGATAAAGAGAGATAGATAAATATAAGCGACAGACAGATAAATGGAGGACCATCCCTACCCTGTTGCCGCCTGAGGCAGCCGAGGGGGTGGACACGGTGTTGTGGTTGTGCGTGTGG